GGGTCAAGTGATTGAGCAATAAAAAACATGACCAATGATCTGAAATTTCAGGAGTGCTCGCTGAAGGTTTATCAATCTTGCGTATTGTCTTGTTCTTTTTCAATCCTGCATTTCAGTTACTAGAATTTATACTAAAAAAAATAGTTTCTGTTTTTCTTCTAATAACTCGGCCACTCTCAAAAACAAATATTTTTCCATGGTCGAAATGCAAGAATACAAAACTACTGTGATTGCATAGCGATACCTGTAGGGCCATTGTCAATTAGTTCGCCTGATCAACACAGCGTTATACATAGGGCTGTTATTGAATCACGGAGAGTAAAATCTTGTGATACTAATCTCTAGAACCACTCAGATTGGTACATATGTCTTATGAACCCACATGTGTATATCTTGGACAATACTCATTTTAAACTTTTTTTTTTTTTTTTTTACAGTGGTGCTGTGAACTGCTTCAATTTCGCAAGGCAATTTTTTCTGGGTTCCTACAACATGGAGTGTCAGGGACTTTATTGAAATGTTGTACACAAATTTCATAAAATCCTGAATATATCTAGAAGTGAAAATTAAATGGTTTACAGTATTTTATACCATTAATAATGATTGAAATGCAATAATATCACTGCACTAAAAAGACTTCGAACAATTATTGTTACTTCTCCATTGAAGGTTATGAGCAGACCAACCTTTATCACTACTGGCTTTCTTAATTATTACATGTACTTGCTCTGAAAACATAGCTTTTACAATTGTTTAAATTAACAGATGTTGTTCTATGTACAATGAATACATTTTAAATAATAAACCTTACTGTATTAATAACAAATTGTATTTGACAACATGAGAATGATTCTGATGCCCAGTGGTGATGTTGAAACAAACTCAGGTCCTGGTAATATACTAAGACTTGATTAACAAAGAAGTCATGTACATCAAGGTTCACTCAGATTTATGAATGCAGTTTCTTGAGCAAGTATACATGTATGACAAATAGTTTTGTTGCACTTGTGTACTCTGAGATTCTGAACATGGATCAGTGGAAGTTTTTAGTTGTCAGTACAAAACTAGATTATGGGAAATCACTTTATGATGAGTTGTACCCACAAAGAGTACATATTTATTCACCTGTTTGCAGATGTTCCTTGTACTACCTGTACTTTATAATCAAATAACAGGGACTGTGACATTTCATGTCTTGTTAATGGTGTAATGACTCTCATCAAACATCATAGCAACCACTTAGCAAGAACTGGTCTAATACAAATACACATGCAACTTTGCTGAATACAGATCAGTGGAATTGTGAACTGATCATTTTTTTTTCTTTCTACACAGCTGCTGGGATTTCCAAAAATGCACATAAAGACCGACGACAAATGGTGGTCTATGATGCAGACGATTTATTTAAATAAATAGTTATTATTTCAATTCACAGTGTGCAGTTTTATGATTCATCAAAATTACAAATTGGAGGTTTGGTTGAATACTTTCTCCAATGTTTGTACAAGGAAGCACAAACAACTTCTTTACTTTTTAGATAAGTGTACATACAGTGGTGTTAAATAAATGTCTGCCAATCATTATGTATTCAATGGCTGTAGCTATTACCAATCTTACCGAGATGACATTGGTATCAATCTACAGGGGATCTCGGAGCAACTCAATTTATAATTACAATTTTAGAATAGAACAGAAATCATGCAAATGTAAAACATATTTACAAAGTATTACTGGCGTAATCATCGGGGTAGAAACCAGAGTGTATGTATGACTTTAATAAGTTATTTTTTTTTTTCAAAACTAAAGCTGGAACTTTTCACTGAACCTCGGACTAAACATACCCAGTCCTTATCTGGCTGACGTATGGTTTTAAAATGAAAACATTTGCATTATTGTAAACATTGTGCTTATCGAGGGAAAAATTGATTTTATTATTCCTGTACACTCACTGTAACCGTCATTGCTGATTTTGTCAAGTACGGTAGTCGTTTCGTTCTGCTCGGGTGTTACTGGTAGTAGTAACCAGCACAAGCTGGTGTTGTGTTGCGGCCATCAGATTAAACCTTCCACACCAATCTATCAAAAGTACCTCCCAGCAAGTCAAAATTCAATTAGATTAAAGTCTTCCAAAATGGGTGAGTTTCAATGAAACTTGAAAATCTGTAATTTGATTTCACAAGATTTAATACAATCTAGTTTTCACAGGGATTTGGGCGGGGTTTGAAGACGTGCTATGCTGAATATTTGCCATGTTTTTTATGCATTGAGTAAATCACTAGTTTTTCTACCAGCATTTGTTGTTCACCAGGGGTTGATGAAGAATTTCATTTGAGGGGAGGAGTTCATTGTATGATATACAGGTTTAGTATGGGTGGACCCTTTTCATGTGGTACAGACATCTTTCAAATTTACGCTGTGCTTGGTTTTTAGCTTTACTGTACATGGACAGGCAAACAAAACTTGTTAGGATGGGGATGTCGACTGTCTGCGATATCACATTTTGTTCTTTCAACTAAAGTTGCCCAGAATAAAAAAATACTCCTCAGTGTGCATCAAAACAGTAGTGATGCTTTCTTTCATCCTTTGTACAGATTCTGACCAAAATACCGATGCAAATTTGTCTTCATTTTGCAAATAACTGATTTACCACACAGTGATAAACAAAACATCCATATAGTTCCATGTATTTTTATTCAATTGGGTTTTAATTTTGAAAAGTTTTGTTCTGATCCAAATTCAGCATAAAACTTGGAAAAATTGAAAGAAAAAAAGATGCAAAATATAAATAAAAAACAAGTATGCACAATTTTTTTTGTTCCCAGACTGAAAAGGCGAGAGAGACATACAGTGTTCTTAAAACTATGGTATATAAAATACATAAGTAGCCATTTTTATAAATAAAAATGTTTTTATTCTTTGTACTTTTCTCCTTGATAATATTATAAATTTGAATCCCACAGTTTCAGTGATGTCAACATTGAAGTTGAACTTTGTTGTCAGCCATGAACATCGCATTTGCTCTATTTGTGTTTGGGTTGTACTCTGTTGCTAGGCAACCACACACAAGTAGTGTTGAGATTTTACAAAACCATATGCAATTTTGTACCAAATATAGAAAGAGTTCCTTTTCTACCCCCACCACTATTTCTAATACCCCCCAATTCAATTGTATGTGCCCCTCTAATTAAATATGGTGTCCTTAGGAGGGGCATATACAATTAATTCGGGGAGCACCAGTTACTTTTTTTTTTATAGAAACAGGAGTACAAAATATAATTTCTGTCATTATGGTATCCTCAGTTAAATATTCCCCGACATTTCAGCGAGACAAGTCAAGGAAATCTAAAATAACCCTTTAAAAGCCATAACATTTTGCACATTTTTTTTTCTATAATTTCTTTGTTAATTTTGGACTAAATGAACATAACTTTTCATTGGCTACATTTTATTTTGTAAAAAGTGACAAAAGTTAACTTTGGCGGTCGTCAAACTTAAAGGCCCGGGGTCATAAAATTGACCCTAATAATCAGTAACTTAGCAACCAGTAAACTGGAGATGTGCTTCTTATAGAGCAAATACGATACATTATAAAAGGGGATTGATACAAATTGGGTTGATATACCAGTACTATTAATACATGTAGATAAGATGTACACAGTCGTCTACAAATAACGACATATGTAATACAAAGCTGTAACTTTTTTTGTCATGTCAATCGAACAACCTTGCGCATACTGGAGAACTTCACTTTATAGACAGTTGTTGGCTTTCGGGGACTATAAATTTTACAGTGACTTCCTCTTTAAAGAACCCTCAATAAAAATGTAATTTCTATAAAATCCTTCAATTCCACCCCTCCCCCTCCGCATCCCACTTGCAAAATTCACATAATTTTGTCTCAAGCTAAATTAAAGCGGTTTGACGTAATGCTTTGCAATGTAACTGGTGTATGGATATAATGAAGTACCCCGCTACCGATTTGACCCTTTCACTGCTATTGGAATTTTTGTCACCATCCACCCTTCAAAAAATAGTCCCATTCCAAATCTACAGGTTTAGGATCAGAATATCAAGTTTTGGATCAATCTGTCAAAAATATATTCTACATAAAGAGTTTATCACAATTGCGAGATCGTACTAAAAATGGAACTGATTTGATCATAGAATGTGAGCCGTGGTGAAATAAATCATACGAGGACAACTGAACAGTCAATAGACATTTGGCCCTAAATGTGTCACTTGACCTCGCTTTTTTAGTTTTTGTCCAATCAAACGCCCTCATGAATAATTAATCACGACTCAATTTCTTAAAGCGGGAGGGTCATCACCTGTGCACACGCAGGAATTGAGTCCCAAGCGATGATAACAACACGCGCTAAAAACGCAAAAGCTCATAGGTAGACGCTTGTTTGTAAACAATGACACGTTATGGCCATCTGACGCATGGGCAGGTGATGACTCCACCGCTTTAATGGCTTCAAATACAAATAGCCATGAAAGGTTCGTGTCCACATATTTGTAAGTACAATGTATGTGATTCGTTACAATAATGTAAATTATTCAAAATACATTTGTGTATTCGAAAATACAATACTTGCGGCTGTTGATTCAAAGCATACATGTATATCGGGAACTTATTATTGGCTAGAACTGCACGCTATAAGTTAACAAAGAGGGCAGCATTCAAGCTATGTTCAGGATGAGTATGAAATGTGCAACTGAAATTTTACGAACTAAAAATATTCTAATTTTCTGAATGTTACTGCTATTTTTATAATGACTTAAAAATAGATATAGTTTTCCTTTTGTAATGAGTCTTAATCCAAAATGATCTGAAAATAATGAAGATTTGTGAAAAGCAAGCACCACGTGAGGTCAATGCAAAAATTGTTAAGGCTACGATACGTAAATATTAAAATATTTGATTTGCCTGAATACTAGCAAGCTGATGGTAATGACGTGTATCTTGAAGTTGAGTTGAGAACCTCCAAACACACACACACCAACATCTTAATTCAAAAAATTATTTATTTGCATAGTGAGCAAAAATACTTGTCACTTCCCCCATGACATCATATCCTGTTCACCACAGACCATTCTGAGCATTTTATTATGTTCAGCTAGGAAAAAAACACAAAATTTTGTTAATGAAAATGTAAATTTTGGCAGTTGGTAATAAAAGGTAAATTTCCATTCACGAGACAGAAAAGTTCAGGTATTTAGTAAGAAGGAAGTGACATTACAATACGCTACCACAATGCACCTGTCTGAAACAGGATATGACATCACAAGGTTGAATGTCAATCATGAAATCAGCCCCAGTATTCAATTCATTGAAATAACATTAAACCTTTCCATAAAATATACACAATTCAGTTTTAAGAAGAAAAAAACTTGTCACAAACCCCATCCCCAAATACCTAATGAATTTATAAGACTAGTTCATTATTTGGGAAAGAAGAGGGGAGTAGGGTTCCTGAAAAACGAGGGAAGCGCTATAAACATTTTGTGCGATATAGTGGTATTTACAGTGTTGAATAATGGCATCGGTAAACAAACTGTACATGCATGGTAAAGTTGAAAATACAATAAAGTGAAAAAATTTTGATTTTCAGAGATAGCTGTCCTATTCACTTTCAGCACCAATCGGCCATATATGTAAATCCTTTAAATAAGGCTTGCTCTTCAGGGGGGATGGGTCGGCGGTCCTTAGCAGGGGTTAGTACTGGGTTTTCGCTCGTGAACTCTTCATCAAAATTACTCACATCCTCTGCAGATCTCTGCAAGAATGAGAAAAGGTAATGACAGAAATGTCATGCTCATAGAATATTGCACTGCTCATAAGCTGTGAAAGAAACATGTAGCTTCACAGCACTAAATAACCCTGGTCCTAGCAGTCAAGATAGAAGCAGGACTGGTACACATGTTTCTCATCCTTGGGAGAATTGGAAAATGATTATGTTCAACATTTAACATTGATTGAATAATACTTCTGATTACATGCATTAAAGGTCTATTTTGATCGATATAACACATGTGGCGATCTTCACCGGTACACAAATTTGACAACAACAAAAATGTGCAAGGCGCAGGTTTCAAAACTTCTGAAAACAAGCCATGCATGGCACATTTTCTGTTAGTTATCAAATTTAAATATATAGTTTATAGTAATATAGTTCAAACATAAACATGTCAGAGATATGGATCCAGAAGCTGATGCTTGATTATGATGATTAAAACAAAATGGCTCAAACCAAGTTTGAGCAAAATCCATCTGTAAACAGCCAAGATCTGGTTCCGGAATGCCAGAAATGCTTGATTTCAGTACAAAAATGGCCGCCATTCGGCCATCTTGAAACAAATTGATGTGCATACAGTACAGTTCTCGTGGAAGCTTTGGCTTTTGTGGCATCATTGTCGCCTACGCATGGCTTCATTGTCGCCTCAGCATCGCATCATTGTGGCATCAGCTTCGCGTCATTGAAAATTGAAGCTGTGTTCGCCTCGCTATTTTGTGGCATCATCGTGGCCTCAGCTTCGCAGTCTCATGGCATCAACATGGCATCAGCTTCAATTTATTGTGACATGAGTACTAGTATGACCTCATTATTTGCACGCAGAAGGCAGTAGACAAAAACATGTACAGAAGTTCGATATGTAATCGATTTGAAATTCAGGCGAATAAATAATATGATCAGAGTAAAATGACATTTTAAA